ATTATTTATTAATCAATATAATTAATTAATTGAGGAAAAACCGGACTTTTGAACTCTGTAACCTTGATGCCTGAATATTGATTGGGCCAAAGATCTTTAAAAAAATGGGAAAATTAGGCCCAATACGGCTCGTAAGGAACAAAATTGAAAAATACACTTTAAGCTAATTAAATAATTCCAAATGTAAATTATACGTCAAAATCTCAACGAATTTTGCCAACTTCTCGAACCTCAGTAACAGGCGTTTCAAGCTACCGGAATCCAGACTTTGTGATCCTTCGATTATTGATACCAAACAGAGAGCAGCACGAGTATTAGAGTCATGTTCTCTGAAGAGAAATTCAAGGAATGGCTTGGTAATGGAAGCAAAAGATGACGATGTGAGACGTGAAGAGAGGGAGAGAGAAGCAGATACGCAGGCAGAGCGGACCGAAGAATCAGGATCCCGGAGTCGACGGACGATGGCGGAGAGTAGTTTGGACATGTTTAGATACAATTTTTCTGTGGTTAATTTCCTCTCTTGTTGATGATGGTTTCATCGAAAATAATTACACTTCCACACATTTTGATTGTATTTAATGCTTGAGAAGGAGATGGATACAAAAGTGTGTATGCATAGATTGTTGAGAGAGAGAGAGAGGTGGGATTTTCTTGATTTATAGAGATAGACGGGTCTGTGAAGAAAAATTTAGACTTTATTTTGGGCTTTGAAAGACAAATTATAAGATAGCTCAAACAAATTGTCTACTAATTATATGTTATTTCACTAAGGTGTTAAGAAAAAATTTCCTCCTCAGTAAAGAGGATTTATATTTGTATGATTGTGTTTGCATTAAATCAATTTTATGCAAGTAGTTGTTGGACATTGGATGTTATTTGTTAATAAAAAAGCGACACTAAATTTTTAAAAGTGACATTGTATCACTTTTTTAGATTTTGTCACTTTTTTTTTATTTTTTTGTCATATTTTTAATTTTTTTTAATATTTGCCACTTTTATGAGAAGATAAAAAAGTGACATAATATGTTATGACCCTGTTTGGGAGAAATTTTAATCAGGATTATAATAAAAAATTTAGCCGTTAACTGTCAAATTAGCCACCATTTTTTACCTTCCCTTTCACTGGTGAAGCCCATGAATTGACTTTACGGCTATAATTTTGATTAAAATCCCACAAAAATTTCTCCTAAACACACTCTATATTTTTTTGCTTAACATAATCATCACGTGAATTGTCTTGGAACATGATTATTAGTGCCGCGCAAATGGATGGTGTTATTTTGATGTTTGTCACTTTTTTTGAGTTTGTGTCACTTTTTTTAAAAAGTAAAAAAAGTTACAATTTTTATAAATGTCACTTTTTTCATTTTATGCAGTATTTTTTATTTTCAAATAACTTTTCATATAATTTTTTAAATTATTCCTAGTTTTAAGGGTATTTTTGTAAGTAGCTCAAAAAAAAAATCATGGGTTCGGTCGGGTCAAAGAGGACTTTTCAAAAGCCTTGCTGAGGCCGATAACGTACAAAACGACACCCGCTTATTGACCAAAGCCCATTTCCTCAATATGTTCGTGAGAAATCGAATTAGGGCAAGATTTCTCCACTGATTGAATCCAAAATCTGAAATTCATTACCACATACAATAATCCTAACGACCCGAGTGTCTATTACCTATTAAATTCTAGAACTTCTATCAAGGTAATTGATTTCTGTTTTGAGATTGCGAATTTTTGGAATGGAATCACTGTTAGTGGTTGCGGTATGTGTAACTAGTCCACGAATATGTTCAATTTGGTATTTCAATTTCATTTGCAGAAATTTGCTGTATTCTCCTTTTTTCTGATTTATCTAAATTATGATTAAAGCAACGATCTTAGACAAAGACATTTTTGCATAATTTTCTCAGCATAGTTTTGTGATAATGTTAACGGGATACTACTTCAGGGGATTGAATTACCAAGGAGCTGGATTTTGTATTTCTTTCGAATAATAGGTCGGCTGCTAGGACCTTTTCTATGGGTTTGATAGGTGGGCACACATGAATGATGGTATCTCTGTTTTTCTTGATGAAACTGCATTTCTTTTCCCTTGATTTTTTTTCCTGCATAGGATTCCTCCAGTGGATAAATTTGACATTTTTATATTTGACGTCACCCTTTCAGTCAAGATAAGCAATTCTTCCTTCCATAGAGAAACGGGATTCTTTATACAAATACTTGATGGGTGTCTTCAAAATTTGTTCAGTTACACTCAATTACAGTTTTATTTTTCCAATAAAAATATGTACAGCTTCGTCTTGTTTCTAGTTGCCATGGGGTTGGTTGCATGACTCCTCTCGTCTCTTCATTCTCTCATGAAAGGCATCTGCTGACTATGTTGCTGCTTCTTATTTGGTGACGCTTGCTATTTTTCTATTCTGTTAATATTGATGGTTAGCAACTATAGCTCTTCTGGTGTATTCATTTTCCTCAATGCTCCCCAAATGCCATATTTATATATGTATGTGTGTTATTTTGATTTTATATTGTTGTAAGAATACATATATATTTGGTCGTGTATGCATGTGGTTTGCTAAATATACTATTAATATGGATGGCAATTTGACCCAAACAACCTGAACCCCACGGTGCCCCGCCCAGACGGGGCTGTAGGCCAGTTTTGGGGCAAGCTGCCCCTATTATCTAGTTATTATCCTAAAAAGAGTCTTACTAATTAGATTTTATAGAGCCACCCAAACAAAGGATACCATCTTCAGCATGGCAGCTCCGTTACCCATTATTTAATTTGATGCCATCAACGAGCAATTCGTCTCAACTGAATCCAAGAAAGAGTTCTCCTCGGATTCCTATATGTTTGTTCTTATGCCTTTTAAAGAAAAAATCTCAAATTTGTTTAGTGCATGTTTGACATTCATTACTTTATTTTATAGTTTGCTGCATGACCATTTTCAATCACATTTACACAATAAAATATTTTCCACGAATACCAAAAATTTTTCTCTACTCTTAGTCACACATTCTCCTAAAAATCACTATTCAAAACTCTTTTTTCTACAATAATAGTTGTCAAATAGGCTCTTAATATCATCTTAGCCCAACATTTTTATGCCCAAACTGAACCAATTACCACACCCATTAGTCCATTTCCCAATAAATGGGCAATGAACGAAGCAGGATGGGGCAATAAAATTTTTGGCAAGGCCGGGGTGCCACATCCCCATTCCTATCCTAAATGTATAGATACGTTAATGTCTACCCTAGTGCATTTTTGCTATATTTACGTTTGCAAGTCTTATCTACGTATTAATTTGTTAAGGATGTATTTTCCATTATGTGATAATTGCTTACCATTGCTGCGGTGCCATTTTTGGGTGGTACACAATGAAATGCCATCTTGTTCATCATTGTTAAGCCCTGTTTAGGAATCTTTAGCTGATTTCCGAACAACTTGTGAACCATTTTGTGCAAATTTAGGGCCAGCTTGAAATCTTGGAACTTGGTTGTCTGTTCAATTTTTCTTAATTGATTTGTGCTAAAACGGATATTGAATCAGCTTGATTCTACCATGAAAGTTATTATTAACTGTTTCCCGACCCAAATTTGGACAGATAGCTTGGTAAAGTTGCTAGAGTTTTAAATATATAAGTCCTTGAAATCCATTTTATGGCTAAAAGCACGAGAGACCTTGTCAGGTTTTATTTCAAAACAACTCATATTTAGAACAACGCGACGCTTGATTTAATTAATAGCTGGATCATGTGGAATATCCAGGTTCAGGTGTCTTATTAAATGTGAGCCACATCTATCTGGGACATACCTGTCATAAATAAAACTAATTTTGCACTTTGCTGATCTCATCAATCCTTTTTTTTTTAATGGATAACCTGATGAAAATCTATTGAAGTTTCATTTCAGTGCAACTCTCCTTTAGAATAGAGTGAACTTAGATTAAAGTCATATCAGGATGCATGCGGCTGGATTATCAGGTTTAGGAGTGTTGCTAAACCTGACCCTCATCCATGTGGTGTCATATTTGTCATCTGTAAACCTGATTTTTTAGTTTGCCAAACACTATCTCAGAGACTGACTTTTATTCCCTATTTTTGTAATTGTAGAAGCTTTATTTATTTTTATTTTTTTTGTTTGGAATTGTGAAAAAGACTAGCAATAAGGTTTGGCCCAAACACTTGCACACGAATGACTAAAAACTGCCTTAACTTTTTATGTCATGTCTCTTTCTTGCGCCATTCATCTGCTTCCTTTGTGGCTGAAAGACTGTATATAGTGATACTTGACTACTGGAGATTATTTAACCCCTCTCCACAGGCAGAGGATGTTATATTTTGATTTTCAACTCAATACCTTATTTATGTGTTAAGAGTCTGAGGGATGTTCTTGGAAGTCTTTGATTTTGAGGAAGTCAGTTAGAGGGCCAAGTAGAGGGGAAGCCAATTGATAAACACTGTTTCAGTGTTTCTAAGTTCATGATGGCGTAACTACTCTTTGTTCGTCAATTACAGGAAAGGTTTGGTTCATCTTGCTTTTGCAACTTCTGAGCCATTATTAAGAGCTTTCAGGATAAAGGTTGACTGTTTTGGAAGCAATGGATCGTGGCCACTATGGTCCTCAGCAAGGATGGGAAAATAACAGCGTAATTGTGGTTTTCTTTTAATCACATTTATGGGATGATATGCAAAATTAGGCTCATGTGATTGTCCATTTTTTTCCGGCATCTCATCCTTAGAGGACATGAGAGAAGCCATGGGACAGTGAGGATGTGGAATCGATTTGCCTACCTTGAACCATGATTATTAGTTGCTGATATAGCTTATTCTCTTGAATCCACAGGCTTTGGAGGGGTATGGCGCTGTTCATGATTCACACTTCAGGTGGGTGTTTACTGATGCTTATCGCCAAATGGGTAAATGTTTCTCAAGTATGAGCTCTAGATGTTTACTTTTCTTTCGTTACTGATGGAGTTCAGATGGGATTCTTAGCAATGGCTATTTATTTATTTTTATCTGCTTTGCCTTTGATGGTATTAAGACATTTAAATGGTCGACTTTGTATGCCATATCTTTCATGCTCCATACACTGTACTCCTTTTCTATTACTTGCACTTCTCTTCTATCGGCTCGTCTCATATTCTTTTGGCAGGGCTGGTGACCCTTATGATGATAGGAGGTATGTAGATGAAAGGTTCTTGAGGGACAATGTTTACCCAAGGGGTGACTTTCATGAGGACATATTGGAGAGGGATAACTGTCCACCTCCACCACCACCAGTTGGCATGTGGCCTCAAACAAGGAGGAGAAACTATGAAGAAGAATATTCTTTTGAGAGGGATTATAGACGACGTGAGAAGCCGTATGTTGATTTATTTTCAAATGAGCTCTTTTTTTGAAGCTGATAAGTATCATAAAACTGACGCATTCTGGAATATGATAAATTCTTGATGGTTATTCAGTATTGACAACGGTTGAG